GGCTGGAAGTTGAAGCTCAGCTGCTGCACATGTTGGTGTGTTCTGATGCAGGATCAGCAGCTGATCAGGAGCTGCTAACAGTGACCTGCTGTTGTTTCCCAGGACAAGAGTTTTCATTCATTAGCTGATTGTAGGGCCATTAATTCATATCCAGTGTGGAGGAGTCGGTCCTGGATGATGCTGCTTCACGTCAGCAGAACTGACCTGATTTGTTTTGGGGCACTTTCTCTGAGCTAAGATTGTTTAACTCATTGATTCGTCATCATTAGGGTTAAATGATTTGTTGTAGACATTGTGATTGAAATTGTGATGATGTTTTTAAGTCAAGCTTCAGTTCAATAGTCAGTGTGTCAAAGATCTAAAACACTGACGAAGCATCCCGTCATGAAACACCATCAAACTGTCACACAAGGAGGACGGCAGCAGGAATCTGTCAAACCACTGACACACAGTTTAAACTCTGGCTGACAAGTGTTGTGTACCGTGGATCCTCAGAGTGGAGCTCACTCTGGTTGGTTCTCTCTCCAGCTACATGTTAATGAGGTCGGTGCAGCCAATAGACAGGAGCTGATGTCATCACATGCAGTGTGACAGATAACAAGCGTTTTCATGATCAANCTGGCTGAAGCTTCCTGCTGCACGACTGAGAAGACAGCGGTGAGGACTGAATGGAGTCAGAGCTCCATCTAGCGGACAAACGGCGCAACGGCAGCATTCTGCGCGACAGTGATGCTTAACAGCATTTTCTGTTTTATGAGAAAACAACCAGACGGTAAGCCAGAACATCACCAGAATGTAATCATCTGTTCATTGTGCCATTATCAACATTTCGTTTTATCTTGCTAACAAACAAACAAACAAATGGATAAAACATAACCTCCTCGGCGTAAGGAGGTCATAATAAGAAACGACACTCACCTTCAGGACATCACGGAGGTTCGGGGCTCCATAGTATATAGGGTATTGCAGAGAAGGTGCGCTCGATTTGCTGACCCAGTTGTCCAGGAACGAGATTAATATTTTGTGCACACATTACTTCGTGGCCACAATATAGTATTTAGTGCGTACGTTGTAGCGATATTATGGCCACGATTTAATTTTATTTTGACCATGTCATGTGCGGGCCTCCGTAGATGTCAAACCCTGTTAGACGTTTCATTTAATGCTGTCTGACTGACCGTGTTTTAATGTAATTTAATGTCTATATATAGCAGTCTGTCTCCATTATATGGACCAAAGCATGTGGACACACCATTTAATCACTGAATTCAGGTGCTTCATTCAGACCAGGTGGATAAAATCAAGCAGCCAGTCTTGCAGTCTGCATGCAGTCACACAATTCTGAGTTTGTGGGAACAGTGTTCTGGTCCAGCATGACTGGACTCCAAAGAAGCTCTGCTGAGTTTGGTGTGGAACAGCTGGAATGTCCTGCTCAGAGTCCTGACCTGAAGCCCATCAGACAGCTTTGGGATGAACTAGAACAGAAACTGTGAACCAGACCTTCTGGTCCAACATCAGTGTCTGACCTCACAAGTGCTCATCTGGATGAAAAGCCAAAGATAATCCCACAAAGTGACTCAACATCTGGTGGAAAGTCTTCCTGGAGAGGAAGCAAACAGTTTCTGGTAGAAATGAAGGAATGAGAACAGATGTGAGTGTTGGGGATCAGCGCCCTCCAGCGGTCACAGTCACTAACTGCAGCTGTGTCAGTTCCGGGTTGGCAGCGCAGAGAATCATGGGAATGTGAGTGTTTAGATGTAAAGTGTTAAATGAGTGGCTGTGTGATTGTTGAGCAGGTGGGTTTTGATGTTTCTGTACCTAAAATAAAGTGACAGTTTTGCGGCAGAAGCTTCTTAAAACTGATAGTAATTAATATTTTGATTCTGATAGTTTGTTAAGAAAAAGTTGTGATGACTGTGAAGCACAAATGTCTTACTGGGAGAATTCCCTGAATGAAATCTGTTTTTACTTTAAACAATACTTGTACCCGTAGTACCTCATTAAAGGAGTATTCCACACAAACTACTACTAGCTTCAGAGGTGTTGGCCTCCCAAAGAACTGTTTATAGTTTTAAAGACTAAATTCATGAAGCAGTACTTTCAAACTAATTATAGATTAAAACAGTTATTCAAGGCAAAATACTGTTTTATCAGATTAGATGAGCTTCATTGACCTCTCACTTGGAAAATGTCCATGTTCCAGCAGCTGGATCCAAATAAAGCCAAGTAGGAAACAAGACAAGAAATACAAAAGTACAATAAGGATAAAAATGACCATAAAATAAAGAATATGTTCTCCTCTCACATGTACAGATGAAGACTGATGAGTCTACATGTAGATATGTACAGGTGTGACATGATGAATCTGCTTGTGGATATTTCCTTTCCTGATCAGATCCTCCCTCCTCCACTGTAGAATAATCAGGTTGTCTGATCACCTGGTGCTTCCAGTCCTTCACTGGTTTGTTCCCAGGATACATTTTTCCAACCCAAACACGTCTCCGCTCCCTTCACAGTCTGTGTTTGACTTGATGGCTCCAGTTAATTACACACTTCTTACTTCTT